AAGAGGAAGTCGCCGGCCTCCTTCAGGTCCAGCCAGATCCTGGGCCTGCGGGGCACGGCCTCCATGGCGGACAGAGCCCGCCGGCCGCCGGGCCGCTCCCCTCGGCCGCTCCAGCTGCTGGCTCAGCGCGCGCACTGCCCCGCCCCTCCGCGCCGGAAGGCGGTCGTCACGCGGGGATGAGAAAGGCCCGCGCGGCCTTCTGGGAGATGTAGTCCCCGCCATGCCCGCGAAGCCTTGCGCACATGCGCAGTTCAGTCTCCTCCGAGAAGAGGGCCAGGAGGTTTGCGAATCTCCAGCCCGAGGCGAAAGGGCTTCTGGGAGTGGTAGTCTTCCTCCCTTAACTGCGAGGTAAGGCGCAAGCCGGTTTCTTCTGGGCCGTGCAGACCCGCCTGCCGAACGTAGGCCTCGCCGCGGGACCAGAGCCGGCTAGCGCGTGGGAGACTCTAGCGTAGCGTCGCTGTTCAAGGAAAGGCGGGGGTGGGACGTGGGACCCGGGAAGCCGTTTGGCCACAGGACACAGAGCCCAGGCCCGAGCACGAGTCAGCAAGAGGTCGGGATTAACAGCTGCTGGTCGGTATGGGCTGGAGCAGCAGGAAGGAAGGGACCGGGAGGAGTAGGAAGCCCTAGTGCAGCGGTTCTCAATCTGTGGGTCGCGACCCCTTTGGGGTCCAACGACCCTCTCACAGGGGTCGCCTAAGACCATCGGAAAACACATATATAATTCCATATTGTTTTCATGATTAATCACGATACCTTAATTATGTTCAATTTGTAACAATGAAAATACATCCTGCATATCAGGTATTTACATGACAATTCATAACAGTAGCAAAATTAGTTATGAAGTAGCAACGAAAATAACTTTATGGTTGGGGGTCACCACCACATGAGGAACTGTATTAAAGGGTCGCGGCATCAGGAAGGTTGAGAACCACTGCCCCAGTGGATCCTTGCAAGACAGGGAGGACCTAGAGAGGGTGGGAGGAGTCGGCCGGCGCAGAAGGGGGCCCTGGCCTGTCTCCGGACAGAAGGAGCCGCGTGGGTGCTGCCTCCTGAGCTGCTTGGAGCAACTGTCCTTCCCCTTTTACGGAGCGGGACCCGCTCAGCCCGCAGGCTCCTGGGGTGGAACTGCCGACACAGGCCTGCGAGGCCCTGGTTCACGTGCCAGGGCTGCCACAGCCGGTGCCGGACGGCGTGGCCGGCTTCCCCGCTGGAGGCCACACGTCTGCGATCGAGGAGTCCCCACGCTGGTGTCTTGAGGCCCGACTCCTTGTTGGCAGAGGAGTATCTGCCTGTGTGGCCACATGGCTGTCCTCCCGGGCACGTCCGTGGCCTAATCTCTTCTTGTGGGGGCACCTCAGGGCTGGCTCACTGAGTCTCCCCTTTCCGAGTCTGTCTACATGGGCGATGCCTGTCTGCACACAGGTCTTTGGCTGACCCCCGCCCCCTTCCGTGCTGCCGTGTCTCCGATCCACTCCGTTCATCAGCTTATTTTGCTCATTAGATTCCACACGGGAGAGATCAGGCCTCTGGCGCATTTCCCTTGGGTCACTGGGGGGCTGGGGTGAGTTGGAGGGGCACTGGGTGGGGGAGGGGACATACGTAATATTTTCAACAATAAAGATTTTTTTTAAAAGAGTATCTACTAGAACTAGAGTCATTCTAAGGTCCTGGGGCTTAGCACTTCCACACAGGAACGTGGGGGGAGGGGCACCATTCGGCCCCTAACGGTCCTGGGGACACGAAGGGCAGTTGGTGTGAGAGGCATCCAAGGCCAGGAGGCCCTGTGGGGAGGGGCCTCGGGTGTTGAGCGATGGGTGGGCACGGGCCAGGGAGGTGGCCGCAGAAGGCGTCAGGGAAAGGTGCTTCCTCCGCGGGCACCGTTGGGAGTTTGGGGAAACAGACTTGGAAGGAATGGGGAGGCGTAGACCCGTCACAAGAGGGCAGCAAACACCCATTCAGCCAAATCAGTCACCTCTTCATCTGCCCCCTACGGGGCTCGGCTACAGTGTTTGGACAGGTTCCAGCCTCGGACCGATGAGAGGGCACAGTCCTCTCATGGCCACGTGCAAGTCCCAGCTGGAGGGCAGGGCCCTCCCAGCACAATCATAGCCAGCGGCTGTGGCTGTGAGCTTGAGCCTGTGGTCCGAACACGTGGCCACGTGCCTGAGTGATGTGGGCTTGGCAGAGTTCAGGTGCATGTTGTTGAGTAGGATTGAAAGCCAGGAGAATGTTTGTAAACATCTTGGTCATGCCCTTACTTTGCCTCATAGCATCTGCTATAAACTAAGGCATGGCTGTGGGCGTGGTCACTGTCTCTCAGAGAAGCAGCATCCCACCAAGACCCGGCTTTCATTCTCTTGTCTGTCTTTTCTGAGCCTTTCAGCCCCCGACTCGGGGTCACCCTTGGCTGCGCTGGCCCAAGTGGTGCCCGAACAGGGCTGAGTTCGGGGGAATTTAAAAAGTGGCCAGGTGAAAGGAGGCTCCAAGGTGCACGCAGAAAGGAAAAGTGAGATAAGGCCAAAAAACAAAAGGAAGGTGCGGAGCCGAGGTGTGGTAAATTAGCTCGGTGTAAAACGGGACAATGCTTAATTGAAGCATTTTTAAAGTCGGCATTTTTAATTTCTAAGGTAGAAATAAGCAGAAGCAACTTAGAGATTGCTCTATAGCTGAAGGCCCAGAGAAAATTCCTGTTTCTGTCTTCAGTTTGTGGTCCGTGATTCGGGACTGCCTAGAGGCCCTTCCCAAGAAGGGATGGATGAATGCGGCAGGAGATGTGAGACAAATAGTAGAGTGACCAGAGGCTTCCGACTCCACTTAGACCCTCGGCACCTCCATTACCTCCTCCCGTCCCTGGGGCTACCGTTCCTGTGGGGGAAGCCCTCTGGACAATGTGCTTCCTCAGAAAAACCAACGAGAATTGGAGGAGGCGGAGAGGGAACAACGCAGGCGGGAGATGACGGGGTCTAATGCAAGCCTTCGGGAAGCTTCCTGTCACTCGTCAGCCTCTCCAGTCGCCTCTAAACAAGCAAGAGCCAGAGTGGGATCTGTCTCCACTCCAGCGTGTCTGCATGAGGCCAGGCAGGCTGGGGAAGACACTCCAGGACTTAGGAGCCAAGCGTACTCTGAAAACGCATTGACTAAAACAAACGGGGAGAAGAGGTTGTGTTTGTGTCTTTCCGGAAGGAGCAGTAGCCAGTTTGGGTGCCAGAACGGTACGTGTGACACCACCATGGACCCAGAGAAGCTCCTTGTCCCTCCGTTCAAGGGACTGAGAGTTGCCCCGATGACAGCAAAGAGGAAGAAAAAGAAAACAGAGGCTACACTAGGGGCTGAGGTGCCAACATGGCGTCAGCGGAAGAAGCTAACAACTGAGGCCCAGCGAATGGCAGAAAAGCAAGGAGTGGAAGCTACGCCTCCAGCCCTGTTTATGGCCGTTAGCATAGAGCAGGGGTCCTCAAACTGCGGCCCGCGGGCCACATGCAAATACAAATACTGTATTTGTTCCCGTTTTGTTGTTTTACTTCAAAATAAGATATGTGCCGTGTGCATAGGAATTTGTCCATAGTTTTTTTAACTATGTCCGGACCTCCAACGGTCTGAGGGACAGTGAAGTGGCCCCCTGTTTAAAACGTGTGAGGACCCCTGGAGGGGTCCTCAAACTGCGGCCCGCGGGCCACATGCAAATACAAATACTGTATTTGTTCCCGTTTTGTTGTTTTACTTCAAAATAAGATATGTGCCGTGTGCATAGGAATTTGTCCATAGTTTTTTTAACTATGTCCGGACCTCCAACGGTCTGAGGGACAGTGAAGTGGCCCCCTGTTTAAAACGTTTGAGGACCCCTGGCATAGAGAAATAGAGAAGTAAGTGGTAGAAATGTAGAAATAAGCGGTAGAAATAGAGAAATAAACGGGGGTTGCAACCCAGAAAAGGTTTCGGCAAGGGCAGCCAGGCCTACCTATGGTTCTGTAAGCGGGGGTTGCAAGCAGAAAAGGTTTCGGCAAGGGCAGCCAGGGCTACCTATGGTTCTGTAAGCGGGGGTTGCAAGCAGAAAAGGTTTCGGCAAGGGCAGCCAGGGCTACCTATGGTTCTGTAAGCGGGGGTTGCAACCAGGAAGGTTTGGACAAGGGCAGCCAAGCCTACCTATAGTTTATAGTTAGAGGTAGAGAAATAAATAGAAAATAAGCGATAGGAGAAATAAGCTGTAGAAAGTAAGCAGTAGACGTTAGAAAATAAGCGGTAAGAAATAAACTAAAAAATAAGTGGTGGGAAATAAGCTGTAGAAATAGAGAAATAGGCGGCAGAAAATAAGTAATTAGGAGGTACAAGATAAGGTAGAAATCTCCTAGGTTTTGTTTAAGCCACTGTAGAGCAGAAGATGGCCGTGGTTGCTGATGTTGAAGGAAGTGATTTTGTTTTAGACCGAGATCGTCAGCTCCTGCAGCAGTGGCATGGTTTCTAGGCTTTGGTTATCTTTGCTCGTGGAACCAGCTAGCTCCCTGGGACTTTGGGTCTGTGTGAGACGCCAGACTCAGAGTGGGAGGCTCCAGCCCTGCAGGACCGAGGGCTACTCGTTTCCATGCAGCCGCGGCTAGAGAAAGGCCGAGAAGGGACCAGACTTTAGCCTGTGCGGACGGGGCTGGCTTGGGACTGGTGCGGACTCGGTGCCGAGGACAACCGTCCAAGCAGCCTGGTCCAGGGCACTGGTTTTGCATCATGACGTCTCTGCATCGGCGGGATGTGAGCATGGAGCCAGCTGGCGAAGATGGCGACGGAGGCCAAGCAGATGTTAGAGAAGGAAGTGGGAGCTGAGCTAGCGTCAGTGAACTGGCAGTTTTCTGAAAAATCTTGCGGAGCTGAATCTAAGGACTCTGAGTAAGATGTCCTGAAAACGTTAACATGTTTGTAGTTTGGTTTTGCATTGGTATTGCTTTGTTCTTAGCCAGAGTTTTGTTCTCTTGTTAACATTGCTGTGTTTATGGTTTCGTTAACGGCCAGAAGTAAGTTTACTATTTCCTCCATGATCTTCAGCTTTATGCTGAATAATTTGTCTAGAGTTTTTTGGATAATGTAAATAGGCATGTTTAAAAACAAAAGTAAAGGGGGAATATGGGGCACGGTTACAGTGTTTGGACAGGCTCAAGC